GATTTATTATAAAAGAATGACAATTTAAAAATCAATTTTATATTTACAAAAATTAATTATTAAAATTACTGGAAAATAAATTGTAACATTTCTTATCAGACAGCAATATATTTAATTCAAAATAAAATTGCTGAACAATATGAAATTCATTTCCCTGAAAAATATATTTTTCTTTTTTAATTGTCTACACTTGGTCATTCTTCTTGTAAAGCGACGATATACGCATAGATCGAACGAATCTATCAATCTGTAAATCACACGTTCTCGTTTGAGAAACGTTTGAAAAAGAAATTCAAGAAAGTAGTAAAAGAGACGATGAAAAATATGGAGATGAAGTAGATATATTACAACGTAGAAGAATTATAACAGTTTACAACCCACGCAATCAACGTAGGTGCCATTACTCAATTGAAAGATAAGAAAGAGGGTCGACAGTATCTAACGCATAACCTAACCTAGTTGACTGGGAATAATAAATTTAATTTTATTATTGCAACTAAAGAGATGCGCATTTGAATAAATGAAAGTATTATTATTATTATTATTATATCACAATTGAACGAAAAATAAAAACTTGAACTTGAATAATTATCGAGAAAGCGAGAGGAATTCCGGAAATTATCGATCAGATCGTTGTTTCGAACTGTGTTTCGAAAACAAATAGAAAAAATTTATCTTAATCTTTCGTCCGATGAATATTTTACACATATAATGTAAATAAAGTCTTGTCCTTAATAAACATAATGAGAAAATACATATGATAAATGATACCAAAGATACTGTATTCACAAAAAGTAGTATTAAATTATGATAAAAATAAACATAACGTGAAATATCGTAAATTACCATTTTATGAATAAATTTATTACCGTTTATTATCCGTGTTGTGATAATATATTCGAAGGGGTGTTAAAACAATGGGTGGTACCAATAAAATTCTGAGATATGCAAAATTAAATTAAAGACATTTTTTATTGAATTTTCTCAAACAATTTGAGTTAGTGCGGTAAAGCACTGTAGCGACATTGGTTGATCGGCGTTGATCAGTCTGGACGACGAAGCAGAATCGAGTGTATCATCGTTTCGTTATCACAATACCTTGTATCGTCAAACAACAACGTTTTAAAAATAAAAACATCCATAGAGAGAGAGAGAGAGAGAGAGAGAGAGAGAGAGAGAAGAGGAGAGTATACAACAACAAAGAAA